TACTATCCCTACCACATCTCTTCGTCGTTTCTCTCATATTTCTAGACCTCCTAGTTTCTATGGTTTCCCTTTAAACCATAGTTCATTGTCTATTGTGTTATCTATCATAGATATTCCCTGCTCATATCAGTAAGCCATTACCACTCCTCATTGATGAGATACTATGGATGCAAAAATTCATGCCTTTCAAGGAAATGACACTTAGGATTTGGTAGTTCCTCCCTTAGATGCTTTAGTCATCGGAAGTTATTGGGTTTATACAATCAAGTTAAAATCAGATGGTTCATTGGATTGGTACAAAACTCAGCTTATTGCTTAGGGCTACACCCAAGAGTATGGCATTGATTATGAAGTGACATTTGCTCCCGTTGCCAAGATTACTATACTCTGTATCCTCCTAGATTTATCTATTGTGCATTCATGGGCCATTTATCAATTAAATGTGAAGAATGTTTTTTCTTCACAGTAATCTAAAGGGGACAGTATACATGAATCCTACTCTTGGATACAATGGTGATCCCTCCCTTATTTGTCAATAGAAATCCTTATATGGTCTCAAATAAGCTCATTGGGCCTAGTTTGAGAAATTCTAATATGTAATTGTTGCTACTATCTATCATTTGAGTGCCTTTGATCATTGTCTCTTCATTCGTCAAAGATCTCAAGGCATTATTATCTTGTTGTAGTATGTAGATGATATGTTTTTTATAGGGGATGATAAGGATGGAATTCAAGAACTCAAGTCTCTTCTTCACGGATCCTTTCATATGAAAGACTTGGATTTTCTTACTTATTTCTTGGGCTTGGAAGTACACTGTAGTAACCGATGTTACTTTGTTTGTTATTACAAGTATGCATCTGGTTTTGTTAAGCTTGATGATACACCTTTGGAACTCAATGCCAAGTTGTCTAAATTTGATGGGACCTTGTTTATTGATGCTACTCTATATCGACAACTGGTTGGGTCTCTCATCTATCTCGCCATGACTCGTCCAGACATTTTTCATGCAATTCAGGTAGCTAGTCAGTTTGTTTCAACCCCATGTCAATCCCACATGACTGTTGTCCACCGGATTATTTGTTATGTCCGTGGCACTTTATCTTAGGGGTTATTCTTTTATTCTTCCTTTCCTATTAAATTGAGGGCTTATGTTGATGCAGATTAGGCAAGCTACCCTAACACCAAACGGTCCACTACAGGGTGATTTGTCATTTTGAGTGACTCCCTTATCTCCTAAAAATGCAAGAAATAACAAATAGTTTCTAAGTCCTCTACAAAAATTGAATACGGGGCTATGTCATCAGTGTGCAGTTAGATTGTTTAGCTTCAATATCTCCTTATTGATCTTGGTGTTCACCTCCCTACACCTATTCCTCTTTATGTTGATAACACAAGCGCAATAAAGATTGCATTTAATCCACTATTCCATAAAAGAACCAAGCACATTGAGGTGGACTATCACTTTATCAGGGATCTATTTCTTGTTGGTTCTATCTCTCTTCCACATAGAGCTTCTGACTTGTAGGTTGCTAATATACTTACAAAGCCTATGACGAGATCTAGACATCTATATCTTGTGGGCAAATTGATACTTATATCTCAACATTAATTTGAGGGGGAGTGTGGAGACACTTGTTGTACTATAGCCCTATGGTCCTTCTTGTATTATAGCCTTTGTCTTCTTTTTTATCTTTCAGCCCTCCAAGGGCCCTTTTTTTGTAATTATTCTTTTTCTCCTTTAGCCCTTCAAGGGATCTTTTGTAAATACATACAATTAATATATATATTTAGACTCTTTGGGGTTGGGGTCGATTCATTCTATTTGACACCCCTGGGGTTCTCATGAACTAGAAGATGGACAACGAGAATGTAATTCTAAATTTTTCTTCAATAATTTGGCTTTTCTTTGATAGAAGGTCCATGATCTTTAGGGAGTGGTGAGGTCCATGTGTATTCATGGAGGTAATGGTGTTGTTGCCGCCACCAGAAGACAACTAGTAGTTGTAGAAATTAGTTCAATAATAGCTTAAATGATCTTTGTAACTGAAAGATTGCTTCATACGAATCACCAGCTAGAGGGCTAAAATGCCTGGCTAGGGGTTAATCCCATAATAGCCCATCTAGGTAATTAACTATTGGATGCCATGGGTTTAGGGGCTTAAGATCTACGACAAATTGAAGGCAAAGGTTCTACAGATGAAACCAACATTGATGTAGGGCATTGTGATAGGATGGTGGAAGAAGAGAAACTATATAATTATGCTGAAGAGGTTGAGTCTGGCTCCTCGACTGATGTCGATGGGGAAGGAGAAAGGAGAAAGTTCAAACCCCGGGTATAAAGTTCTAGATCATCATGAAGAAATAATGGCCTTGAATACTCAATGATTTGGTCGGTGCTTTAGTATTCAATAAATTTTTGGCTATTAACTTGCATTAAAAGAGCACCAATCAAATTTCTGGCTCTCCCCCAAATATCATGTATTCACTTAAAATGCCCTCAAGCTCCCCAAACATCTCCCATCAATTAGATGGGAGGGCATCAGCTAGGGGTGAGCATTATTCGGTTAAAACTGAATTATCGAGCTGAAAATTTCGGTTTTGATTTTTTCGGTTCGGTTTTTTTTTTCAGTTTTTGGGTAATTCAATTCAGTTAATTCGGTTTTTAGATTTAGAAATTCAGTTAACCGAATTAACTAAATTTTATTATATAATATATAATATAATATAATATACAACATATAATATTTAATATATAATATGTTATATATGTTATATATTAATATATTATATATAATGAAATTAAATTTCATAATATATATTATAGGTTATAATATATAGTATTATGTATATATTAATTACATTCGGTTTTAACCAAAATCGGTTATTTCGGTTTTTAGTTTGATTTTCATTTTTTAATTTCGGTGTTAAAATTTTGGTTTATTTGGTTTGGTTTTTAACTGAATAAACTGAATGCTCACCCATAGCATCAACTAACAACCTACAATCTAAAAAAAACAACAACTTGACATACCATTACCATAGAGAAGAAGAAGGGGGGGGGGAGATGGAAATGAGGAAGGGGAAGAAGAAGAACAAAGAGGAGGCAAAAGAGGAAGAGAGAGAGAGAGAGAGAGAGAGAGAGAGAGAGAGAGAAGGGGCACCTCTGGTTCGGTGGAAGGTAGAAGACAATGAACAATGCTTCTTCTAACATCATGAGCTTGAAAGGGGGTATTTGGAGGGGTTGTATGGGGAGTTTAATAAGGCTGATTCACCATTCAAGGGCAATTTAGTCATGAAAATTGCATCTATGCTGATGTGGAAACTTCTGTTAATGAACACTAATGGTAGAAAACAAAAACTCACGGACATGGGGTTTCATGAACATTTTGAAAAGTTATGGTGAATTTTAGAGAAATACTGAAAAGTCATAGTGAGTTTTAGACAATTTCCCCTAAGGCTGTGTTTGTTTTGTGTAAATAAGAACTGGGGTAAACTTTACACCCCGGTTCAAATTTCTCTACATTTGTTTTAGGTGTTGTTTTGCACTGTAAAGTTAGCATAAAACTCCATTAGGGGGAGTTTTACATCAAGAATCGGTGAAAAGTTCCCACTGATAAAATCGATGAAAATCTCCATCGTCTTTGGTGTAAAACACTACAATAGTCAAATAGCCATTGCTCCATCATTATCTTTTCTGGGCAACCATTTCACCGGAGAATGGTATAAAACTCTCCATCATCTTTTTTCGATCACAAGGGGCGACAACCTCATCTCCACTTCCCCCCATCTTCACTTGCGGCTACTGCTGCTGTGTCTAGAATGCAATGTACAATGGGATAGCCAAGCATGCAACTAGCAGGATGAGAGGCACGATGGCAAAAGTGATAGAAAGAAGACAGAGGACAGTGGGACCTCTTGGAGTCGGAGCCAGAGGACAATGGGATAGTGGGACAGTGGGACCTCACGGACCGAAGGACAGTGGGACCTCACTGAGAAAGAGGATGCTGGTGAAGTAGACTAAGGCAAAGAATATCAAGAGAGAAAGAGAGAGAGAGTTGTTCCCAAGTTCGTATTTTCCTAAGAGTAAATTATCTAGCATCTTGGCAATGACACGCTAATGCATGGCGTTGCCGGGATAGGGAGAGTTCCATAGCAGATAGGGTTGTTCATAAGAAGGCCCAACTGACCAAACCGACCAACCCGGACGGACCCAACCCGAGTCGGCCAGGTTTTCATCAGCACCGGTCGGTTTCGGGTTGTACAAATTCATAAACCGATGGTTTGGGTCGGTTGAAAACTGAAACCGACCCGAACCAAACCGACTTAGTTCCTACTTAACTAAAAACTGAAATATCTTAAAATATATATTCTAATATCTATATCTAAAAAATATAAACCGACCCGAACCAAACCGACTTAGTTCCTACTTAATTAAAAACTGAAATATCTTAAAATATATATTCTAATATCTATATCTAAAAAATATATATTATGAAATATGTCAGATATATATTTCCAGAAAATATATATTCCAATATATTTGTATGTATATTTTTGTTTATATATATATTTCTAAAATACATGTTTCGGTTTTAAATATATTTCTAGAAAACTAGGTGGCCATAGGGGGCATGGATGAACTTAGAGCCGAAACCGATCCAAACCGACCCAACCCGACTCAAACTGACTAGGTCGGTTTTGCTTAACACTGGGTCGGTTTCAGTTTCCATCTCAGGTAACCCGACCAGGTCGGGTTGGTTGAAAAAACCTCAATAAACCGACCCAACACGACCCGTGAACAGCCCTAATAGCAGAAACAAAGTAGAAGCCTTTCACTTTACACTGTGATGGCCAAACATCGTTAGGGTACAAATTTAAATCCGGTTCTATTTTCCATCGAATCACTAACCGGCGCCAACTTTTTTATCGGTGTAAAACTGAATTTACACCTGAAACAAACGCAGCCTAAAACAAAAAGATATGCCACGTTAGCAACGCATGGATTAGAAACCATGTATCTCTCTCTTCCCTCCACACACACAGTTTCACTGTTTCAGTCACCTTTCCACGTTTCTTTCTCTTCCCTCTCCCGCTCCCTTTCTCTGCGTCTGGCTTCCATGGATGTGAATTTATCTGCAAAAGCCCAGAATCTAACCTTGATCTCCTGTTTTACTATCTCTTCGTCCTACTCTTCTTCTTCTTCTTCTTCGACTTCGTCACCTCGATTTTGTTCTCTTCGAAGAGAATTTCTTGGCTCTTGTGACCGCTTGAGGTTTCCTGGTGCTCGTTCTCGAAGGAAATGCAAGAAATTAGGGTTTCTGATTCAATCCCCCCGACTTCTCCCCAGAGCGTCTTTGTATTCAAAACCGTTTCTTGTCATTGTCGCTATCGCCACTTTCTCGGCCCTTACTGTAGTTTATTCAGTTCATACCAGAAGAAAGAAGGATGCGCAAGAGGTGAGTTGAGATTTTGGAGTTCTTTTCCTATCTTTTCTTTTCTGTAATCTGAGCTTGCTTGAATTCATCTTGTTGTTTGATGTTGTATGTGAAAGTTGCTTGAATTTGTCATTTGCTGTTATTTCTCTGGATTTTTTTTATCTCGTTTTGTGATGCAAATAGTTTCTTCCCAACCTTTGTGAGCTGAGAGTATAAGTCCAGTATTCGTAGTTTGTCAGAACTCACAGGCAATTAGAAACATTTGTGCTCGAACATCTTTGCAAGTCCCGATGTAGTCGCTATGGACGCATCAAATGTTATCTGGTTTGCCCCTGATAAGCCTTTTTCTTTCTTTCTTTCATCTAAAAGAACCTATCGAGGGCGAAGTGCAAAACATTTCATGCGTCCATAGCGGTCACATTAAACACTCAATTGACCCAGAATATGACTCTAATTTCTTATGTTTCTGCTCCACCGACAAAATCAAGGGATTAATCCTCCCTTCACTGGGCATGGACTAAATGCGATGTGCAGAATCTAAAGTCCTATAAGATCTCTCTTGGAGCATTTAACTCTGGCTGGGTTAACATTTTATTATTTCATGTTTTTTTGCTAATCTTCACTAAAGCATCAACGATAAGCATTCTTTGCTATACTGGGCATTTGGCATGCTAAATTCATCATCTATAATAGATTTAGGCATTTTTGTTTGCCTTCTAGGAGTGACAATGTAATTTACCTTCATTTATGAAAGAACAGTGTTGTAAAGCCAACATTCTAATACTTATGCAATTTCATTTCCATAGTCTTCAGGTACCCAAGATCCTGACGAATTTCAGAATCTTGCATTATCCAAACAAAGCAGAGATTTCACTAATCAGAGTGTTGATAATCAGATTCTGGATCTTGAAAAAATTAGTGATGGAACCCCCGCAGAAGAATTAAAAGCTATATTTGAAGAAACCAGTGAGAAGGGGCATAATAATTTAGAGAAAGAGGTGCAGTTGTCCCAGTTTAAGAAAACTGCTTTGATGTTTGAAGAAAGCCCCTTCACTGAAGCATCAGAGTTATCATATTCTGTTTGCAGTACCAAAAGTTCTATTTTGACAAAGGAAACAGAAAGCATGGATCCAACTCTTTCATCTCCTGTACTTGGTGAATCAGCTTCTGGAGAAAAAGTACGTTTTGCAAAGGATATGCCAGAGTTGGTGTTAAAAGGATATCAAGAGGAAGCTGTTCCATGGTCTGAATTGTCTGGGCTACTGGTTGACCCTAAATCTAGTTCTGTCATTCATTTAAAGCATGTGCCTGCAGAAGTAAGTCAAGAACACCAATTCAAGAACGAATTGGATGATGAAGGTGAAGTTCAAGTTTCCACATATAATGGCTTCTTCAGGCCATCTTTCAGAGAAGAAATTCACACATTTTATGAAGAAAATCAGTCAGGAGTGAGGTCTATATCAAACTTCAGTAGTCTAAAAACAGTGCCTCCTCATATTTCCTTGAACAGTAACAGTAACTTTTCTTCATTGTTAAGGACTAACATGCTGAGCGGAGCAGAAGTGTCAGAAGGCTTGCATAATACTACAGGTTATGCCTTAATATCATTGCTTAACCTTTTTCTTTCTCTTACGTTAGTAGTGATGGTATTTTTGGGTTTCTTACTTTATGGACTTCATTTAAAACCTGTAAACTGACAAAAAATAAGGGTGCCTGTAAAATTTCAGATTATCATGAAAGAAAAATGCCTCTTTCATGTTATAAAGAAGGTTCTTGTCATAGAAGAAAAGACTTTCGAATAGGCAAGGGATTTCCAAGAGATACAGGGAAAAAACTTACACCTCAGAATGGTGACAGAAATTTACACCATCCTCAACCAAATGGTTTGCATGTCAGTGATAGAAATGATATATCAGGGTCTATTGATGCTTACAATCGCTTGCTAAGTGATGGAAGGTAAAACTTATCTTTAGCTTTTACATTTTGAATCATATTGATGTTCACATTCATGAGAAAATTTTTAAGCTTATGATTACAACTTATAAATTCAGGTCAAGCTGAATAAGTTCAGAAGCAGTTTTTTGTTACCAAATCAGATTTTGATGATTTATTTGACATGGTGGTAGCAGTTCATGGTTTATCTGTCATATTATATGCTTTCTGAACTTATCTTTTAAATTGTATTGATTTTCCAGGGTAACTGACTGTGTAGAATTGCTAGAAGACCTGGAAAGAAAGGGTTTGTTGGATATGAATAAGGTATGTCTGTTTCTCCTTCAGATAAAGTCAGTTCAACTGAGCCTTATCCCAACTAGTAAGGAACTTGGATTGACTCCATTCCTACTATGGCTATTATTTGAGTTTTGTTTCACCTTTTTTTCTTTCTTTCCAGGTATATCATGCAAAATTCTTTAACACTTGCAAAAGTCAAAAGGCTGTCAATGAAGCTTTTCGTTTTATAAAGCTGATTTCTAATCCAACCATGAGTACATTCAATATGCTTTTGTCTGTGTGTGCGAGTTGTCAAGATTCAGATGGTAATTGAATTTCACTGTCAACTTGTTGTTTAATTGGGTTTGCCCTGTCAGTCAGTCAGTCTAGATATAATTATACATTCATATGGTCTCTGATCTATTGATCTTCATATAGGAGCTTTCCAAGTTCTGCAATTTGTCAAGGAGGCTGGACTTAAGGCTGACTGCAAACTTTACACTACTCTAATATCAACTTGTGCTAAAAGTGGGAAAGTTGATGCTATGTTTGAAGTAAGGCATTCTTACTGAATTTCTCCTACTACAGGCAATTATTAGTATTTGAATTTTTATCTTCTCGCATTTTCACTTCATGATGTCTTTCATACATCTCCTGGTCTCTGCAAGAACAAAACTTTAGGGTGCATTATTTCACATTGCTTTCTCATTGATGTCTGGCAAGTGTAATCAATGTGACCCAGCACAGCTATATATGTACGTATGTAAATAGTTAGAAATGCTTTGATGCAAGGTTGTCCAGATTGATGTTTTGTATCATGGCTGGCATGTAATCTATCCTTTTTCTGCCTTATGAGTTTTCCTCAATTGAACGGATCAGAAGTTGTCTCCATAGGTCTTTCATGAAATGGTTAATGCTGGAGTAGAACCAAATGTTCATACATATGGAGCATTGATCGATGGCTGTGCTAGGGCTGGTCAGGTGGCTAAGGCTTTTGGTGCCTATGGAATAATGAGATCCAAGGTATGTAGTGTATTATAGGCTTGTATTTTATCTTACATTGAGGGCCTTGGACCACTGTTATGTAGAAGATACTTTTTTCTATTATTATGCTCTGGAAGTTGTTTATGTTCTAGATCCAAAGCATCTGTACCCTACTTAGCTTTCCATTGTAATGACAATTTGAAAGCTATAATTGACCCAAGCATGTTCTCCAAAAAGATGTGGTTGCTGAGTCACTCATTCTTGTATGTTTCTATATTTGAGTTCCGAAATAAATCTTCACACTGAGCAAGGTTTTATATGCAGTAGAAAGTGAAGCCTGATCGAGTTGTATTCAATGCACTTATCACTGCATGTGGTCAATCAGGAGCAGTGGATCGTGCTTTTGATGTCTTAGCAGAAATGAGAACTGAGAACCAGCCCATAGACCCAGATCATGTCACTGTTGGTGCTTTAATAAAGACGTGCACACAAGCTGGTCAGGTGAGCTTGTTACCTTTTTTTTTTTCTTTGTTGAAATTTGAAAATCATCAGGTGATTTTCACTTGGATAACTACACATCTCTTTTTTATTCTATCCTGTTGTTGGTATTGTTGATTTAATTAATATAAATGTAGTTTATCAATGTTTGAAATGTTGGTTCAAATCTAAATGTTAACCAATTTAAAAATAAGAAAATGTCAGAAATATTGGAAATTATGTATAAATTTATTATAAATTTTTATAACACTGTAAATATTAATATATGAAAATATCTGTTAATATTTTTTGAAGTTATAAAATGACATACCCTTTTAAATAACTATATCATTATAGAATGATAAAAATGATGCTCTTAAAATTTTTGTACCATTTCAAGATGACCTCCTACTTTGCTTGGAATAAATTAAGGGTTTAAAAATTATTTTATAATACCCAGTAAATAGCTATAAACTTTATTGTGCTTTGCTTTGTTTAATATAAAAGTTATGATTTATATATGAATATAAAAAGACAAATCAGGATCCATGACCATGAGAGTTTGGCAAAAGCTTTTGCACCAACTGCCAATCTGACACAACCCTCCTCCTTTATTTGGGCTTAGGACTGGCAATGTAAGACAAGCTCATACTGGCTGCTGGCAGAATTTTTCCTAACTCTTACAAGAGTTTGAAATATTAAAGTATTGACTTTATTTCATTAAAATATGTATAATTAAAAATAATTTATAAAGGAAAATAATAAAGAAATAGTATCTATAATGATAAACTCAAAAAAATAATGGGCTCGAAGAGTATAGTGTCACATAGAAACATATTATGTGGATGATATCTATGAGAGGACCATTACTTGGTGCAATGGTAAAATCTCAGGCTGGCAAGCGTGAGAACATGGGCTTGTATCTCGCTGTCTGAGAGTGGCCACTTTGTACCAAAGGTTAGGACTGTATCCAGTCTACACCTCCTAAGACCCCAGATAGCTGGGACCAACATTGGGTAATCAGTAATGGCCTTTCTTTTATATGCCATATCTATGTACATGTAAATTGGAATAACTAATAAAAATCTTACATTAATATAATTAACAAAGTAGAACTTTTTGATAACAATATAGAGGATTTTTAACAGACTAGAGAATATTTCAAGACATATCACTAATATTTTGTGTTTGTACATATGGAAATGGAAATATGTCATATTGGGAAATTTGTATACATTTTAAACCATGGATAAATTCTTTCCCTTTATATAGGAAATTGTCTCCTTGTTTAAAATAATACTATAGGCAAATGACTTATTTCAGGTTGATCGGGCACGAGAAGTATACATGATGATCCATGAATATAACATCAAGGGCACCCCTGATGTTTACACTATTGCTGTTAATAGTTGCAGCCAGACGGGTGATTTGGATTTTGCACTGAATATCTACAGTGACATGAGAAGAAATGGCGTCGTTCCTGATGAGGTATTCTTTTTTCAACATTGGAATGTTAATATGGAAGTGGAACATGAAAAAAGAGCTAATGCCATTTCTTCCACTTTTGGTATGTAAGCTGGATTATGTCAATCAATGGAGCCTGTTTTTCTTTTTGACAAATTACAATTTTCCATGTAAAACAGAGTTATATACAAGAAAACACCAAAGAGGAATCAAAAGGTTCCATCCAAGGAAAAAAATCGAGAGAGGGGAAAACTTAAAACAATTCATCATGCCATGTAAAACTATTAAAAGATCTCTAATGCATTCTGATGCACCTAAGAAGCAGGAAAAAACTGGCAAGCAACCAGATTGAAGATAGATTCATAAAACATAAGAATAGTACCCAATGATTGAAAATACCCTCTCCCCCAAACACAAATACACAGAAATGAAAAGGATAAAACAATAAACAGGAACCTGATATGAGAACACATAAAGAAGTCTTTCCTCCACAACGTCACAACAGAATGACAGATTACTCATTATCAAAGCCAGTGCCACCTTCATTGCATGCCAAAACCTAAGCGAGGGGTTTCTAGGGAAACTCTTTTTTGGGCATGCTTGTAAGGCTACTGTGAATGGGGGGATCACCTTCCTTGGAAGGTGATAGTTGTACTAATTTTCTTTAAAAGTTCATGAAAGTTACGATTTCCTATAAAAAAAATCCCAAACTGTAAGACTTTGTACACTATCAGTAGAAAAATTGGTTTACAATAAATTACAAGTTATACAGTAAAATGTATAAAATTATAAATTAGTGAAAATCATAAACTTATACCTTTATATCTTGTTCCTACCAATCTTCAGAGCTTTCTTTTTACCTTTTGTTATGTGAAGATTATATTTAAGGAAAGCATAGGGAAAGCTCCTCAAACAAGAATGAATACAAAGAAGAATCAACAAGGAGTTTGGGTATTGGAGTTATAGAAAGACAAAGAAGGGCAACCTCAGATCAAGGATAAGAAATGGAAAAAAAGCTAACATCAGCAAACTTAGAGGAATACCAATGCATTAACAGCCATCTCAGTTTCACAATAACCCCTTCCAATGATACGTTGCTTACTCTCCAAGAACTTGCAGGCATTCCTTCTAAATATGCCAACATATTTGCAGCTCAAAGAAGTTGGATGTGCCTAAAGAACTCCAAACTTTATTAGGAGCCAGACCTGAACTTGCCATGGTGGATCTAAAACTTGGAAGCAAGTGAATAACGTTCTCTTTGGCCATTTTACACAGTAAGCACAACTTTGTCATGGTTCAATTCCTTCTCACCAAGTGACTATTAGTAAGGATATTATCAAGAGAAGTGAACCTTATACAAAGGCAATTTTTATGGAATGGAACACCCTCAAATCTCCTTTGATGGAAATGAAATATCTCTAGGTGGGTTCATACAGAAGCAGACAAGATAAAGAAGCCATCACCAGACATGCTGCTTGTGTCTAGTATTATGCCCCTCTGGTATTTATCAAAAAAAAAAAAAAATTATGCCCCTATATACTCTTATTCATACAACACTGTACATTATCCTGGTAGAAAGGACAAAAACAATGATGTTTCCTCCCCCCCCTCTTTTTCTTTTCAAGGGCATCCTGCTTACAGCCCATCCTCTGACTGAACATTTAATTTCCATGAAACAAGGAGAAAGACAAGACTCCTTGGTGCTTTTGTTTTCCTCCTCAAAGTGAAATAGTCTTTTTGGTAAGTGGACTAGCAAAAGCAGGGTTTGGTTCATAATAACCTTGATCAATCGTATTTCGTAAATCTCAGTAATATACTTTTACTTTTTTAATTATTGTTGTTGCTGTTTTTGTTTGGCAGAATTATATTGTATCTTATAAGTAAAATCCTTCACAAGATGTATAAAAAATGGCGTTGGAAAATTTTGGCATGGAGAATAGCTCTACATTGATTCCATTTGTTGGCCAACGGAAGAAAGAGAGAATTTTATATCCCAATTGGAGTGGGATGGACAAATTTTAACTAGGGAAGATGACATAGCACAAGCCTTGGTGAACCACTTCAAATCTTCTTTGCTGTCAGTGGAGGTGTTAGAGAGAGTTTGGGTGACTTTGAGTGGAGGGCCGGCCCCGAGAAGCCAGAAGCGTCCCACCCGAAAGACTATTGACCTATAAGCCTGGTGGGAAGTTTGTATAAAATCATTTCCAAGGTTTTGGCCGAAAGGATTAAGAAAGTCCTCCCTTGCTTGATCTCTCCAAACCAAGGTGCCTTCATTTTCGGAAGACAAATAATAGATCAAATCCTCATTGCAAATGAATGTGTGGAGTATAAGGGCCAGAAAAAGGAGAAAGGCATGGTTTATAAGCTTGATCTTGAGAAAGCCTATGATTTGGTGGACTGGGAGTTTCTTCTAGAAGTTTTGAGGCGTAGAGGCTTTGGAGTGAGGTGGTGTAAATGGATAAAGGGATGTATCTCCTCTTGTCATTATTCCATCTTGGTTAATGGGGTAGCTAGGAACTTTTTCCCAGTTAAGAGGGGTCTTAGACAAGGGGATCCCCTTTCCCCCTTCCTTTTCACCCTAGTAGCCGATGTCTTAAGTGTTCTAATTGCTAGGGCTGATTCTAATAATTTGATCAGAGGTTGGAGAATTGGGAGGGACACAGTGGTGGTTACTCATCTTCAATTTGCAGACGATATTATTGTTTTTTGTGGAGTGGAGCAAGAGGAGTTAATCAATTTGAAGAGGTTGGTAAATCAGTTTGAAAAGGCCTCTAATCTCAAAATTAATTGGGGAAAGAGCTGTGTGGTAGGGGTTAATAAATCGGAAGAAGAGGTAGGAATTCTTGCTAGAGTGTTGGGATGTGAAGCTAGTGATTGGCCGTTAGAGTATCTAGGATTACCTTTAGGAGGGAATCCAAAGTCGGAAAGCTTTTGGTACCCAGTTTTGGAAAGATTCTCAAAGAGACTAGTAGGATGGAAGAGAAATTACATCTCTCTGGGAGGAAGAATTACCCTAATAAAATCAACTTTGGCAAACTTACCAATTTACTTCCTTTCTACCTTCAAGATCCCCACTAGTGYRGCTTTTAAACTGGAGAAATTAATGAGRGATTTCTTATGGGAACCAGGGGATACAAAGAAAGATCACTTGGTGAAGTGGGAGGTGGTCTCTAGAAGTAGAGATAGTGGAGGGTTGGGTATAGGAAACATAAAGCTAAGGAATACAGCCTTTTTGGGAAAGTGGTTATGGAGACTACCTCTGGAACAGAACAACTTGTGGCACAAAGTGATAGTGAGTTTACACGGGGTGGCAGAAAATAGGTGGGATACTGGTCTTGATCCTAGGGCATCCTGGTCATCTCCTTGGAAAGCTATCCATGGTGTTTTACCCTCATTTCTTCCATTTATCAGACTTGATGCTTGTGCAGGGAATAAAGTCCGATTCTGGGAAGATGTTTGGTTTGGGGATGTCTCCCTCAAGGATAGATTCCCGTCCATCTACTCTCTTTCGTTGAATAAAGAAAAAACCATTTCCTCTGTCTATCTGAATGGTAACTCTTGGGATTTGGGTCTGAGGAGGGGGTTGAGGGAGTCCGAAATGGGTATGG